CTCCCCCCGGCAGCTCCCGCTGCCCCGGCAGGTCGGCCCAGCCCGAGCGGGCTGCAGGGCACACGCGTGTGCACGGAACACAGCACGTGTGCGCACACAGCCCGCCAGGTGTGCGTGCACAAAGCATGTGTGCACACACAGTGCACCAGATGTGCGTGCTCAGCACACGTCTGCACACACGTAGCCTGCCACATGTGCACATGGAGCACATGTGTGCGCACACACAGCCCACCGCATGTGCACGCTGAGAACACGTGTGTGCACACACGCCCCCCCGCACCGGCTGCTGCTTCTGCACACAAGCGGGGCACACGCAGACCCCGTGCAGCGGCACACGGTGCACACGCATGCACACACTCATCCACATGCACACGTGCACACACGGCACGGGCACRGTGGCCACACAGCAGGCACGGGAGGCGGCAGCAGAGCCACCACACACTTTATTGCCCGGTGCCGGTCCCGGCGCCGCGCTGCCGCCCCGGCCCGCGGCTTCGCCCCAGCACCACGCACGGAGCCGGCACCGACACGACGCGGGAAGCGGGGGGCGGCGGCCGGCGCCCCCGGGGCCGCTTCTTCCTGAGAAGTTTGGGTTTATTGTTCGCGTTTCGGCATGGTTTGTTCTCGGCGATGGATGCAGGGACTCGGAGGGAGCTCCGGTGCAGGCCCCCAGCCGCGGGCATCCTGGGAGCGAGCGCGTGGACATGGCGCCGGCGGGATCCTGCTCCCGAGCAGATGCCGAGATGGGAAGCGGGGGCGTCGTGGGGGATGCAGGGATGATGCCCATGGATGCTACCSGGCCCCCGCCAGCCCCTCACCGCGGCGTCCAGCCTTGGTGGCCCACGGGTCTCCTGCACACGCACAGCCCCCGCTGCACACGGACACACACGGGGGCTCCGGGAGCCGGAGCGGCCGCGCCCGGGGGAGCAGCGGGATCCGAGTGCGGCCGGAGCCGCCGCGCACGGGCGCACGGAGCGGAGCTGCGAGCGCGGCACCACGTGCGGAGCACGTGCGGGCAGCGCCGGGACGGAGCCGCCGCCACGAAACGGGGCGCGTCCCCCGGGCGCCTCTTCCCCAGGGCGGCTCCGCAGGGACCGGAGCTGGAAATGCCAGGAAAATGAGGCAAAAACGGGATCGGGTTGGGCGGGCGCGCGAAGCCCCGCAAAGGGGCGAGTATCTCCACAGGGAAATAAAATGGGGGAGGAGGGAGATGGGGGAGTGTCCGGAGCCAACAAGGATGCGGCAGCCGGAGCAGAACGAAAGGGGCTGCCGGTGGGGGCCGTTACAATGAGACACCCCCCCCCCCGCAGAGCCCCGGACTGACGGACCCGAGGACGGACGGATGACGGATGGCGATGGAGCGGTGGGTGTGAACCGCGGGGCTGGCGAGCGCTGCGCTGCCTCCCACGGCCAGATACCTGATTCCTGTCTGTAAACAGCTGGTTTGGTTTGGTTTTCCTGGGTTTCTTTGATTGCTTTTTTTGTTTTGTTTTGTTTTTTCTTACTAAGACCTGATTGCAGAAAAATTAAAAAATCCAAAATCCAAAAAATCAAAAATCCGAAAAATAATTTACAAAAAATMAAAAATCAAAAAAAAAAGATCAACCCCCAAAGGAAAGCAGCGTCGTTACCTGCCGAGCACGGGCCTCAGTACGTAAAGACCAGGTCGGAGATGCTGGACATGAGCCAGTCGCCCGCGATCATCTCCGTCACCTCGGGCGTGCAATAGTCCGGGAAGTCGAAGTGCGAGGGGCCGCCGCGCGGCTCCAGCTCCTTGTCCAACACCGACCAGTCCAGGGGGGCGGGCGCCGCCGGCGCCACGATGCCCGACGACGCTTCCTCCTCCTCCTCCTCCTCCTCCAGCTCTTCATCCGAGGAGGATGAGGATGATGCGGGCGATGCAGGCGAGGGCGCCGTGACGGCGGGGACACCGGCGGGACTGGGTGGCCCATCAGGCTGCGGTGCTGCAGGGTGGCCGGTGGTTTCGTGGCGCTCGCCGCGCGCCGCCRCTTCCCCCCTCGCCTTGGCCCTGCGTCCCGGCGCCGGGGGCTTCGTCTTGGGCCGYGGCCGGGGCGCAGCGGGACCCCCCTTGCCCCGTTTGCGGGGCCGGTACTTGTAGTGCGGGTAGTCGGCCATGTGCTGGAGGCGAAGGCGCTCGGCCTCGCGCACGAAYGGCACCTTGTCGGCGTCGCGCAGCAGCTGCCAGCGGCGCCCCAGCCGCTTGGAGATCTCRGCGTTGTGCATGTCGGGCCACTGGGCCATGATCTTGCGGCGCTCGTGCTGCGACCACACCATGAAGGCGTTCATGGGCCGCTTGATGTGCCCGCTCGGCGTCTTGCACCACGCGGGCTCTGCGGCGGCCTCGCGGGCGGTGCCAGCGGCGGTCCCGGTACCGGTGGCGGTACCGGACCGTGCGCGCGCCGCTCGCTGCACCATCCTGATCCTGATCCTGATCCTGATCCTGATGCTGGTGCCGGTGCCGGTGCCGGGCCCGGCGGCGCGCGCGGGCTGCGGGGCGCGGTGCGGAGCCGCCCGCTCTTATAGCGCCACCGCCGCCCGCCAGCGGCGCAGCGCCGCTGTCAATGGCAGGCCACGCCCCCGCGCGCCCATTGGCCGCCGCCCGCGGGGGGTGGCCGGCTCCGCCAATGGGCGCGCGCCGCACGGGGGTTGCTGGAGAGAGCGGCGCGGCGGCCCCGGAGCCCCCGGTAACCGCGCAGCCGCCGCCTTGACGCCCCGGTAACTGCCGGGGCCTCCGCCGCAGCGCCGCGGCACCCCGCGCGAACCATCCACGGGAGCACCGAGGGGACCCGGAGCATCCGCCCCGGAGCCGGCGCGGAGCACCGGCCCCGCAGCCGCTGCCAGGCCCTGCTCCACTGCCCGTGGCGGGGCTGCGGCCGCCGGGAGGGGGCCGCGGTGCGGGGAGGCCTCGGCCCGGCCTTCCCGGGCCCGCGAGTCCCCCCGTGGCGCAGGGCCCGCGCGGGGCTCCCCGCCGGTGCTGGGGCTACCGGGGCCGCCCGGAGACAGCGGCGGCGGCGCCCAATGGCGGCGCGGGGCCTCCCGCCGCGCCCGCTCCGCAGTTGCCGTAGCAACAGGAGCCCGGGGCCTCCGCGCCGGCCCGG